CTTCATTTTAAGGGTTTAGGGTTTTAGGGTTTTAGGGTTTTAGGGTTTAAGGGTTTAGGGTTTTAGGGTTTAGGGTTTAGGGTTTCAGGGTTTTGGGGTTTAGGGTTTTAGGGTTTTAGGGCTTTACGGTTTTAGGGTTTAGGGTTTTAGGGTTTAGGGTTTAGGGGCTTCTTTGCAGAGATCCTTGAGGGGTTCAGGGGATTTTGGGGGCATTGAGGGGATTGAGGGTTTCGGGGATTGAGGTGTTTTCGGGTTTGAGGAGGGGTTCCCTGTCGGCTTCGTTTTAGGGATCCGGGAGTGGGTTCCGTCAAAGGGGTTTAGGGGATTTGGGGTTTCGGGTTTGAGGGATGTAGGTGATTTGGGGATTTGGGGTTTATGAGGGTTTCAGGGACTTAGCAGATCTAGGGTTGGAGAGATGTAGGGAATTTCAGGGATTTAGGTTTTTATTTTTTGGGGTCTCAGTTGCAAAAAGGGTTTCTAGAGTTTCGAGATGTAGGGCCATGTAGGGGCTGTTGTTTTTTTGGGGGGGGTTTAGGGTTTAGGGCTAGGGTTGGGGGGGGGGGCAGGGCTTTAGTGTTTAGACTATTAGAGGTGTGGGGTTAAAAGGTTTGAAGTCGATGTAAGCCCTAAACCCTAAACCCTAAACCCTAATCTTACCTTCAGGTACAGCATCAGAAGCTCGTAGAGTCGTAGAGAAAGGCCGACGGTTTACGCGTTTGAGTTGGGAGACTTTCCAGGCTTAGGATGGAGGGTTTGGGGTTTATGGAGTTTAGGGTTTAGGGTTTAGGGGTTTAGGATTTAGGGTTTAGGGTTTAGGGTTTAGGGATCGGTAATGTACCCCTCCCTAAACCCTAAACCCTATGCCCTAAGCCCTAAACCCTGCACACTCCCGCGCAGAGTTTTGAGTTGCCTCCGACTCCGAAATCCGAGAGACCCCGAGTCCCAACTGAAGGATACCTAGTCCGAGAGCCCCAACCCTACAGTGGTTCAGGGTTTAGGGTTTAGGGTTTAGGGTTTAGGGTTTAGGGTCTAGGGTTTAGGGTTTAGGGTTTACCCCCAAGTGCTGTAAGACCCTGAAGGCCTAAACCCTACACCGCAAACCCCAAACCCCAGTCCCTAAACCCCAAACCCTAAGCCGTAGCCCCAGTTTAGAAGGCCAGCCTTTGCAGTCCTTTCGCCTTCGCAGAGTTTGGATGTGCGGTGATTGTCCGACAAACAAGCGGCTGCTTTCATGGAGATCGATAGAAATACGTGTCCAGAATTTTTGGGTCTTCGCCTTCAATGAGGATCCTATGAAGTAGGGTCGATCTCGGGATCCTGCATGTTCGGAACCTCTAGCTCATTGACTACTTCCGGTACACTTACTGCCAAGAACTTACTTCGCATAAACACCCCCACATAACTCATTACCGAAGCCCCAAACCATGCACCTTACCGGCGGTTGCAGGGCTTCTTGTTCAGGCTCCTGAAGGGTTTTGGCTTCGACCATATGGGCTGGAGTTGGGGATTTTGCCTAAGCCATGCATTTTTGTCCGGGGATCCAGAAGCTACGAATCCCAAGTGGAGCCATGCTCTACCCCGAACCCCTAGAAAGCCCAAACCCCAAATAAGCTTCAATCCATTCAGCCGAGAGCCCGACACCCCTAAACTGCGAAAGCTTTTTCAGCCACAAACCCCGAACCCTCAACCCTCAACCCTAAACCCGAAACCCGAAACCCTAAACCCTAAACCCGAAACCCTAAACCCTAAACCCCTGAAGCCCTCGAGAGCTGTCTCAGGCGACCCTGCGGCAGACGTCGGGGAAGCTCAGCGACTTCCTGGTGGTTTTGGCTACTTCCTGCATTGCCGCCTCCATCCTTTTCGCCTATCAGGCGCAGTGTCGGTTTTCGGCTTCAGGGGGTTTCGGGTTTAGGGTTTAGGGTTCATCTTTTGCACCGGGAAAGCTTGAGAACAACATCCGATGGGAGCCTCTTGCCAGGTGGTCTCCCTGAACCAATCCGCCTCCGGCTTCGCTTTTCTGGACACCGGGGCTTGCATGTTGTTTTTCAGTTTGACTGCTTTGTTTTGGGTGGGATTTGGAGAACCCAAACCTTAAAACCCTACATGAACCCGCGACCCCTAAACCTTGAAGCCCTATACCCTCCCGAATGCCCTAACACCCGAAACCCCAAAAGCACTAAACCCTAAACCCTAAACCCGAAACCCGAAGCCCCAACAGCATGCCCCGGAGGACATCCTCCTCTGGACAGGGTGGCTCTACCCACCGGTGCTCCTCTTCCTCTACACCCTCTCCAGTGCGGCTGCCGTCACCGGCAAGGCCCGGAAAACCCAAGCTGAACATCAGAACCGAAGGCTGCTCCCTAGGTTTACAGTTCAGGGTTAAGGAACCGGAGAGCGGTTTTAGGGTTTAGGGTCCAGGGTTCAGGGTTTAGGGCTTCTAGGGTTTAGGGGTTTAGGGCTTCTAGGGTTTAGGGGTTTCGGGCTTCTAGGGTTTAGGGGTTTAGGGCTCAGGGTTAAGGAACCCCAAACCTCGAATCCTAAAACCTCAACGTCCCTAGGTTTAAGGTTTAGGGTTTAGGGGTTTAGGGTTTAGGGTTTAGGGTTTAGGGTTTAGGGGTTTAGGGTTTAGGGGTTTAGGGTTTGTGGCCTAGGCTAAACCTCAAACCCTAAAGCCTAAGCTTTGAATCCTGAAGCCTAAGCCTTAAAGCCCTAAACCCTAAACCTTACATCCTGAAGCCTAAAGCCCTAAAGCGCTCAATCCTGGATGTTGCGGGCGGGCTATGGCTCAGGATCGGGAGTCTTTCGGGGTAATGTTTTACGTCAAAGAGCGACCTTCAACGCCCAAAGCTTTTTTTAGGGTTTAGGGTTTAGGGTTTAGGGTTTAGGGTTTAGGGTTTAGGGTTTAGGACCCTAAGCACCCGAAACCCTCAACCCTAAGCCCTGAACCCTAAACTAATAGAAATCCTCAGCCCTAAAACTTTCAAGCTTTACGCTCTCAGGGTTTTGGGTAAGCTGTTAGCTCGGACACAAACCTCAGGCGAATTTTGTAGACCCTAAACCCTAAACCCTAAACCCCTAAACCCTAAACCCCAAATCCTAAACCTTAAACCCTAAACCCCTGAACCCTAAACCCTAAACCCTTAACCCCTAAACCCTTAGCCCTTAACCCTGAACCCAAACCCCTAAACCCTAATTAAACCCTAAACCCTAAACCTCTGGACCCTAAACCCTAAACTCCTAAATCCTAGACCCTAAACCCTAAACCCCTAAACCCTAAACCCTAAACCCCTAAACCCTAAACCCTAAACCGCAGGTGGATCGACTCGCGCCCTTGGTGAACTCCTGGGCCTTCGACGACACGGAGGTGCTGGACGACGCGCGGCGGTACGTCGTCCAGTGGCCCGGGTGCGGAGAGCGGTTCTAGGGTATAGGGTCCAGGGTTTAGGGTCCAGGG